TATTGTATCTACTTAGTTAAAGATTATTTACTATATAATTGATTTGATTTAGTTTGAAGTTTTTATGCAATAATTAGACAAAAATTTTTTTTTTTTATATAGGTAGAGAGTATGAATAGCAATTTCCTAAAAAAATAATAATAATAATAAGATAATTTTATGCAATAAAATACTTGGCAATAGTTATCTTAGCATGAATTAAAGCTAACTATTTTTATTTCTATATTTTAAAATTACTTAGAGGATATATGATAAAGTGCTAGTTTTAGTTAAAGGAAAAGGTAAAACAAAGAAGATGATAGATAAAGATGACTGGCTTCACACAGGAGATATTGGAATGTGGGAAAATTAGGTAGACTTGTAGTTATTGATTATGTTAAAAATATTTTAAATTGGCTAAAGATAAATATTATTAATGCCTAATAAATTTTTATTAATTGTCAGATGAAACAGATGTCGAGCAGATAATGGATGCAGTATCTGATCCAGCCTCAGATAACGGATATCTTTTGTAATCAAATCCAAATCTGATAGGATTTGGATATTCAGTGCTAAAGTTTTAAAAAATTTAGTTTACCAAATTTTTTTTTCTAACGCAAATTTTAAAGATATTAAGTTTAACAGAAATTATACTAGTACCAAAGGTAAAATAAATATTGATATACATTATATCAGTAATGGCATTTGGACAAATAGACTAGTTTTGGCAATTAGACAAAATTGTCCAAAACCTATGCCAAAAACCAAAAATTATTTTTGGACATTTTGACCAAAAAGCTGTAAAGTCACATGATTATATTTACAATCTAATTGGCTGAATGTAATTAGTTTTCAATATACGTATCGATATTAATATCTAATATATTTTAGTAATTTCCAAATACTACAACTCTAAATATAGAAGCTTTAACTTAAAACCTTCTGTGCATCTATTTGAAGAGAAACTACCTGTAAAAAAAATAAATACATAATATTGTGCATAATAAAACTACAAGAAGAATATAATTATAGATAATAACAGAAGATATCTTGGTTTGCGTATAAAAAATATGAGATTGTAATTAAATAAAGTTTATTGTAATTATTTGTTTAATAAAATATCATATCTATCTTGCTTTGTCTTCAGTAACACTATCTGAATTCATTTTGTGTTCTCTTATATTAAGTAAAATTATAAACTAATTTATACACTCTCATTATAGTGAAGTGATTCGTTCCATTAATAAATTTTTTTTAAAAATTCACTATATTGAGAGCTTTATTAGTAAATTCACTATATCGAGTGAATTTTATATAGATTGGCTTTGAGCTTAACTTCACTATATTGAGATTTTAATTAGTCTTCAATATATCGAGAATTCACTATAACAAGGGTGACTTGTATCCAAAGAATTCTATCTCTAATAAAACAAATTATATTATTTCTCAAAATTAAATTACTGTATATCTGATATTTAATTCGATTAAAATTCAAAATAGACAATTATTATATTATTTTCTAAAATTAATGAAATAATGCTTTTAAACTTTTATTTTACTATTTTATCATTAATTTTTAAAATTTCAAATTTAAATTTCAAATTTAAAATTTCAAATTTAAAATTTTAAAATTTTATTTCTAATTTATTCTAATAACATGAATTATAAAAATTATTCTATTTAAGCTAAAGAAAATCAAGATCTGAAATTGATATAAATGATGGTCTTTCTAAATCTCGAATAAAAAGATCATGCAAAGGCCATTTCGCATAAATATCAATAGCAGGATGTGTATACAAACTTAACAACTTATTATTATACTTAGCATTATCTAAAACTATATCATCAATATTTAATTCTTGTGCATTCTCTTCTTGAGCAAGCATTTCTCGCCACTCTTCAAGTCGTTGTTTCCAATCTTCTTCAGTTGTAATATAGGTGTCATCATTTTCAAAATTTGCAAAATCTTCAAGAAGTTCTTGATCAGAATCTTCAATATCCGAATCTTCAACATCTGAATTTTCAATATCAGAATCTTCAACATCAGAAGGTGTAGTATCCGAATCGGTAATTGGAAGTGCGATATTTTTTTTAAGTTGTTCCAATTCACAGGTTCTTTCTTTTATTCTTTTAGTTTGGTTTATATCAGCTCAAATTTTTGCCATAGATGCAACCTTTTTATACTTAGTAATAAATTAATAAACTATTAGAATTATTAAAATATGATTATTTAAATATTAAATTAAATTGCCTTATATATTATCTCAAGTTCTATTTAAATAAGTACTTTAGAGTAAAAACCTAGAAGTGAATCTTTAAGTTTATTGCTATAGAAGACTTAGTCTTATATTATATATAAGACTAAGTTCACTACAGCAATAAATCTAGAGATTTTCGCTCTAAAACATTCAAATAGCAAACTACTAATTAAATTAATAAATTATATCTACTCCTAATCTATTTCTTCGTAAAGTATGTAAAAATCCCATTGATGAAAAAAGTCATTCAACTGATACTGAATTCACGTATATACTAAATAATTTAGTAGCAACATATCCCAATTCGGTATATGTTGTAGAGCAATAATACCAATAAGGTAAAATTTCATCACCAAATTGTTCATACGTATCATCATCAAATGGCACCTTTTTAACTCGATAAGCTTCAAATTCAGCAAGAAGTTTTGTAGGTCTTTGATTTGACCAGGCTTTATAATAATATACAAGCCATGAACCTAAAGAAACGTAATTTAATGATTCTAAATCTGGATTAAATTTAGTAAATCGAAACTTTGAATGCAAAATTAATGCTAATAGCAACAAAGGTTACTCCCAACTATCCCATCGTTTTTCAAGATGTTCTATCATGCTTTCAGCAAAGTATTGATCATTATATTTTTCCCAAAATTGTATAAAATACCCAAATG